GTTTACCTCCGGAGTTGGCGGAATTGCTCAGAAGTGACACTGAGGAGGAAAAACTCAATGGATTTAGTGATTTGAAGTAAGATTGAGAGTTTGGTAAACTTGTTCTGTTTATGCTATAGTATCTGAATAACTGTTCGTATGTTACGTTAACAGCCTCTTTGTCATTCTCTAGTCTATTGTTATTACTATCACTTGCCTTTCAAGATGAAATGCCGGTTCCTGGTCTCTATTTTTCTAAAATAAATTTCCCCCAAAAGTGCAACTTATAGTCTGGTGCAACTTATATATGTATTTTTTCTTCTTCATTATGCATTTTTTGGCTGGTGCAACTTGTAGTCCGGAAAATACAGTATTTAAAATCATAGTTGGCCCAGAAAATCTCATAATGTTTGAAGATATGTTTACACAAAGCCGCTCTGTAATTACTTGTTGGATAAATAATGGTCTGTTTTGTGTTATTATTTTTTAGTTTAATTAAATAAACAATAATATCCGTCTCTACACTGGTATTGGCTGAGATCGGATATCGGCAGATTCTTAAAGCCATAATACTGAAATTGATATTGGATCTGAAAAATTCTTACTGTGAATGCAACCTTTTGAAAATACTAGACTCTAACATTTCAATCTACAATAAATATAGATCATTAAGAAGAATGGAAAGAAGATATAAAATTTGATATTAAACTAAGAAAGTAAAATCAGTTCACTTTCTCTGGACAAAGTATAGGTCTACATCCAGTCCAACGATAAACTTTCTTCTCCCTATCAGGCATCCTTATTATTATCATTAAAAATACTTTAATTAAAATTAAACAGAATTGCACATTAAAAGTGTTTGTATTGAATTTCCATTGACCTTCTTGTCTCTCTGCTCTGGTGTCTCTGGCCTCATCATGTGGAGCTTGTTTTGTTTGTGCTGTTGTAATCAGAGGCTCCCATCAGGATCAATTATGAGCGCCTTATGTGTGTTTAGAGCAAACCCCTGATCAATGCCACAGTGAGAAACCAGCAGACACAAGAGGAGCTGGGATTTAAGTCAGGCCAATAAGGACTTCGGGGATGGGGTTTGACTCTTCTAGGTCAAATTCAATATAAAGACAGTATTTGAAATTAAACAGTATTACAAACTACTGTAAAACCACATTATATTATTACAAAGAGGTGATGGAAAACAATTCAAACTGAATTACAACTGATTTGTTTTTACAGTGTCACATAGAATCAATAATTATATTTCAAAAAGCATTAGGAGAACAGCAGGTGATTCTACAGAAGAACCCTGATTAAATGATTCATGAGTTTCAGCTTCCTGTTTAGAGGCGCCATTTTGAGTACTTTTCCAATTACTAAATATTTAGGGTTGAATTGTGAAAGATGCACTATGTAACATTTCTGGTTGAGGTCTGCTATCTGCTTGTCTCCATGGAGATGCTAATGGTTTATCTGTGTCCATGGAGACAAGTCGGTCACTGCTCACAGTGACAGTGCATACTTTTAATGGATCCTGAGCAATAAAAACACCTATTATGTAATAAATAAATGCTTATGTAAGTGTAATGCCACACTGTGGAACATTCTAGAAAAATGGGAATACCTTCACAGAGATATGCATCTCCATTTTGCAATCTTTGTATGTGTTTGTGCTCCACAGTTGGTTAGCAAAATACATGTGCTACACTAGATGAATATTCAGACTCTACGTAGATGTCACAAATCCCCCTTTAGTATTTTCCTGTAGCGCCTGTAGACTTGACTCCCCCTCGACCTGGGAGAGGACCACCTGAGCTCTGGACCTCAGAGAGGACCACCTGAGAAGAACTTTATGGCTACCAGCACCGTTCACACATGCTCCACACAATGAGGAGAGCTAGTTTATACATTATACCTGCATTTCTTAAGTGGGTAATGGCAGGCTATATCATAGAAATACAAATACGAGAAACAATTAACAACCTACACAAACCGATTAAAGTAATTACCTGTTTCTTTTTGAAGGGTTTATAAATAAAGTGCTTCAAAGAAAATCATTCCTCACAGACATTATGTAGTTAAGCAAATGTACCACCGGCTCTCTAAAAGAGTGGGGACAAGTTGTGACATTAATGATTCAAAACAAAATAAGCACAGCAAACTCTTGATGTCCAAACTTATGACTGATACATATCTTAATGGTTAGATCCAGATAAAACAAACAAAAAAAAACTTTACGCAAACTGCAAAAATAATGTATTCCTGTTCCAATGAAAATGACTAAACTCAGAGTACAGCAAACCCATCCACCCCTTCCTCCCCAATCTGGTGGCTGTTATAGAAATGTACAATCATGGAACAATAGGAGGGTAATTGAAAAGAACGTGGTGGTTGGATCATTTCATTGACACGGGTGTTCATTAAACGCTATTCTGTCACACATTTGGGACACACGTGGAACACAACACATGTCCAAAACCCATCACAACAAGTTCCAATTTGCAGTTTTTCTAAGGACACAGTCTCCAAAGAAAATGGTGGGAGAAGTTTTTAGAGAAAAGTTTCATCTAATTTAAAAATACACATTGCACCTCATGTAGTATTGTATAAAGCAGCAATACCCAACCTTTTTAATATAAGACTTTTTTTTTGACCAGGTTAATCTGTACCATATTTTCAGAGTAAACAGTTAGATATAGTGGTAGCCTATCAAAAAAGATAGTGATGGAGGTTGAGGACCCCCTGGTATAGTGCATGTATTTGTTTATGTATGTTTATGTACCGTATTTTTCAGACTATAAGTTGCTTTTTAATGGTTTGTGTGATCCTGCTTATACTTATACTCTCGTGCGACTTATATATTAAAATTTTCACAATGACAGCCGCGAGAGGGTTCTCTTATGTGTCAGTATCTGCTACTCCTATTACTCCTGTATCAATGTCACTCGCCCTGTACTGCGCATGTCTCCTGCAGAAAAAGCCGCTGTCCTGCTGCAAGTAGTGAAATATTCAGCCGAAAACGGTAATCAAGCCGCAGAAAGAAGGTTTAGAGTGAGCGAGAAACTTGTGAGGGACTGGCGGAAAGTGGGAATGGTGAACACAGCTTCACAGGAACTGAGAGGATGTGCCATGCAACTTTCCTGGAAGTCAATGGATGGATCGACAAAGCCTGAACTTCAATGACAACTGAAACCATCCTATCGAGATTTAGAAAGGCTGGAATAATTCTAACTGGAACTGATGCTGAGTCTGATGACAGCTACGCAGAAGAGGAAGCAGTGCTCTGTTTACCTCCGGAGGTCGCGGAGCTGCTCAGAAGTGACACCAAGGATGAAGAATTCAATGGATTTAGTGATTTGGAGTAAGACGAGAGTTTGGTAAACTTATGTTGTGTTGTTTGTGCTATAGTTATCTCAATAACTGTTCATATGTTATGTTAATATATTAACGCCTATTCAGCCTGTTGTTCTCTGTTCTATTGTTATTACAATCACTTGCCTTTCAAAATGAAATATCAGTTCCTGGTCTCTGATTTTATAAAATAAATTTCTTCCAAAAAGTGCGACTTATAGTCTGATGCGACTTATATATGTTTTTTTCTTCTTCATTACATATTTTTTGGCTGGTGTGACTTATACTCTCGAACGATTTATAGTCTGGAAAATACAGTATGTTTACCCCATAGACTGTATATAGACAGAGTAGTTAACCTGAGAGCCTCGGTGTTCCAAATAAGATGTGAGCATGAGCGGGACTCCAGCTCCATTTCACTTTGTATTGAAAAACTGCTGCTGTGAGCCTCATCATTTTGGTCTCAACTCCTAAACTCCTAAAATGGAACTAACTCTAAATTCACAGTATAACTTCCTGCCTCGTTGAGCTTCATCTGACTGGAGCTAAATGCTACGGGGAACTTTATACTCACTTAGTCCACTTCTTTATACAGTCTATGGTTTAGCCTCTAATAGTGAATGATCTGTAGGCGTGTTTACAAAATGTACAAACAACTGAGAAAGATTTTTGCATAGTTGCTTAAGGAATCACTAAAACAGACAATAATTTCTATGGAAGTCTTGTGGTCTCCTTCTAACCCATGCGTTTTAAATTACAATCATTGAACGTAGTTGTTACTCTTATAATATGATCTTATCTTCCTTTTGTCCTGACCCAACCCTTAAGAATTACATCTAGCAAATAAAACACATCTGAAATAATAATTGTGATGATAACAGGGACAGACTGTTTTGGCTTAGGCCGTTCATGCTTACACTTTCTGACAGTTTTAGAAAAAGTTTTGTCCTAGTGTAAGTTCTGAGTTCTGAGTTCTGCATTGCTTTTAATTCACATACATTTCCTATAAACAAGTCCACAGGGACGGCCTTCTCTGTTTGTGCCCCTGTCAATACCACACTTACCCAGAATCCTCTCTGAGTGGCACTGTGGCAAATGAGAACCAATGAGCAGTGGGCAAAGACCCAGTGGGTAACTTATTTGCAATGCATTTGAAAATTACAAATCCCTAGAAATTGCAAGCCTACATAAATAAAAAGAAAAAAATGAAGCAATATGAATATGAAAAGTTACCACCTTCTTGTATTTTGAGCATATATTAGGACAAACTTACTTCTCCATTTCTTGTATTTTTGTACATTTTGCAACTTTTCTGGTGGAGAGTCCGTCACCATGGAGATGTTATTGGTTTGCCTGGAATGTTCCACAGTTTTGCATTTAACTTACCTATCTCCTATCAGGTAAAAAAAAATAAACAAATAAATAATGGGTTTGCTTCTCTGCAGATCTGACCTGTAACTGCTGAAGACAAGCTGATGCCGGACCCCCAAGATCAAGAAAAGTTATGTAGTGAATCTTTAAGAGCAAATGTATCGACCCCAAAATCAAAACAGAAAAAAAAAATCACTAATGTCTGCAATACTCATGCAGCAAATCTGTTTAAATTCCATTATTATAATACACACTCAACACATGCACACACATACATGAAGCAGCTTGTTGTTAGCAGCACTCACCACTAGTTGGCGCAGCGGTGGTTAAATTAACACAATTTGGGTAGCAGACTGTGAAAAAGAAGCATACATTAGTAAACAAGCAGATAAGGAATGTCTTCATAATAGAGCTTTATCATTATACGTATCTGCATAGGGATAAACGGACTTGTGGTTAATGGCATGTTTAATTCAGAGCAGTGTTAATCAGCTGAAGCATCACAATCATTATGCGCCAAGCAAATGAGGCACTGTACAGCAATTAGACGTGATTAAATTACACTGTAAAACACTGAACCTGATTAGCTTAGGTCAGATAAGAAGGGGGTCATTGAAACAGTCCAGATGGGAGAAACAGACAGGGGCAGTGATATGGTTGGCAGTTTGAATCTATTTTTTATTGAAATTTAATTAAATAAATTGAAATATTCACAGATTTACCTAAATTATACAACACAGTATGGGATATTTTTTGGAAATTGTACATTACCAGTCAAAAGTTTGGACTCTCTCATTTAATGTTTTTTTCTATGCTTACTACTTTCTACATTTTATACACATCAAATACATGTAGCAAGATATATGAAATTATGTAGTAAAGAAAAAAAGTTAAACAATTCTACAAAATATTTTTTGACAAAGCAAAGAGTGGCTAATTTGAGGATTGAATATACAATATAAAAGAATATATATTTAGTAAACAGATTTTTTTCCTCTACTACATAATTCCATATATCGTACTTCATATATTTGATGTCTGTATATAAAATGGCAAGTAAACATATAGAAAAAAACAAAACTAAACAAAACAAAACTAAAAAAAAAAAACACTGAATGAGAGGGTGTGTTCAAACTTTTGACTGGTAGTGTGTGTTCTTGTCTGCTTCTTGGAACTGTATATTCTGAAAATTCTATGGAAAAATGACAGTTTCAACAATGCCGAGTAATGGATTCACTGGATTCATTCAAGAGTGGTAAAGAGAAAAATAATAATCTTGATATTTTGGGGTAATAATACTGCTAATCAGATTATATTCATATAATATCTTATGTATTATAAATGAAGACATATTAGTTGAGATTTAAAGATCGTTCAAATGTGATAAGTAATAAGGAAATACCATTGTGCATTTCTTTCAGTTTTCTTTCCTTCATTTAATCACTTACTTATTTATTTATTGCAACTTTCTGATTAAATGACATACTTGATTTCACCAAATTTGGCGATTTGGCACATCTATTTTGATATTATACTTAAGACAGTATGTAGCCTAGAAAGAAAAACAAAAAATACTAGCACAGCATTTTAGTAATTTCATTAGTAAATTGAAAATGTACTATGCACATATTAAAAATTCGTGAGTAGAGCACAACTATATAATTTACACTACATGAATTCAAATACGAGATTCCGTTTCATTTGCTGTAAAGAAAACCTCAAACCCCCCTCCCCCCCATCCCCTCCCTCCTCCTCATGCCTGCTCGCCTCACTGACCTATGTTGGTTAGAGCCCTGAGTCTCTCAAACTCTTCACAAAGCCCTCACTGTTGGCCCATGTTCAGTGCGGCTAACCTCCAGTGGCTAAACAGACCACTGCCAACAACCGCTGCACCGGAAGCACTCAGCTCCATACATGATACGCACTTACATAATGTCAGCAATACTATATGCACAGTTTGAGAGCATGTAGGCTTTGAAGTCAAGCTATCTGCAGCAGAAAAGTGGTTTTAAAAGTACAACTGGAAAGCACCATTGCTGTTTCTCATACATATAAAAAGAATGAGGAAAATTATGATGGTTCAATTTCAGCCAATTCTATCAAAATATAAAACCTACAAACAATTTACCTGCCCAGCCAGAACCACACACTTTGACAAAACTTTACAAAGACGTGCGGATTTGGAATTGAATCCTGTCTTGCTGATTTCAGAGGGTTTGACTGACAGGTGGAATAACAAAGAGACGCATGCTAAAAAAACTGAAAAACAATGACTTTTACAGACTCAGCAATCGAAGCCTCAAACTATTATTTACCTCATAAAATAAGTTACATATTTTGTTTGAGGATTTTCAAGAATAGATGTTTTCCGCATCTGAGAGATTCCTGCTACAAATTAGCAGCTGTGGTTGGACCGTTTCAAGTTTGAACAAGGTTTTTCACGCTCTGTGGTCAGATTCCAGACTTCAGAATGTATAATGGACTGGCTGGTCAGGCAAACAAACAATTTCATATTACTTTAGCATCTCAAGTTTCCAATAAATGTTTCTTATTATTTTTTCTAATGAACCTAAACAGACAGAGGAAGAACATGCACACAGAATGGGCACTCAACCCTGCCGGGCATTGCTGCAACCCAAAACCTTCTTGTTGCGAGCCTCAAACTCTATTGAACCATCATGTAGTCTTAATGCATGTGTGTATATTTATTCATCTCAGAGTTTAGACTTGTTTAGAAGAGTTTAGTCGTGTTTAAACTTGTTTACCTACTGCAGTCAAAAACCATTCAAGCTGTGTAGGATTTCCCTTATTATTATTAGCATTAATAGCTCAGCTTTAGTAGATTTTCCCCCTTTAGCTGTACTCACTGCAGGAGAGAGAGGCATCAGTTTGGGCCATTGTGGAGGGCACGTCCCAGTAGCTGTTGTCCCAGTCGATGACGTTGCCCTGGGTGTCACAGGTCAGAGCGCTGAGTTGCTGCTGTGACATGGAGTAGTCCCACAGACGCAGGTTATATATATAGCCCTCAAAGTTGTGCTGGCCTGGGAAAGAGGGAAAACAGGCTGGTCAGATTTGGGCTAAGTGATCAATAATAACTTAAAGATGCACTGTGCAACATTTGTGGTGCCATCAGATTGTCTCCATGGAGATGTAATTGCTCTGCCTGAAGTGTTAGAAAAGCAGGCATTCTGTGAGTGCGGTTGCCAAACTGTGAAACATTCCAGGCAAATAAATTAAATATCCATGGAGGTAAGCATTCCACAAACCCTCCACCAGAAAAGTCGAGGCACCATTAAGGACATCTACAGTATTTCCATGGTAACAAGTGACAAGGTGACACCACCAGGACAAGTTACAGGTCAGATCTGTGGAGATGTTACTCTGCTTACAGTATGAACGCATGTTTTTCATTGAACTTGTGAACACCTGTAATTGTATTAAATGCAAGATTTAAGTTTAATGTCCCACTATGGAACATTCGAGGCAAAGCAATATCATCTCCAAGTGGCAAATCCTCTACCACAAAAGTTACACAGTGCACCTTTAACATTTGGTGAATCAAACTCATCTCCTTTTAATTTCATGCTTTGCTTATTTCCAAAAGCTTAATCACCCAATTTTGATTTGAAAACAGTTGTGAGAATTGTTTTATACCAAATAATTAAAAAGTTGGAGTTGTGTTAGACAAACTGAAATTTGTTGAAGGGTCAGCCCCCAACTTGTCCTCCCTGCAGATATTCCTAGTTATAATGGTGTCTTTTTCACTAGATTTGCCTCAACCCATAATGCACTCTCACCTCCGAGTTGGAATAGTCCCCCCGCAGGCACCGACCTCCCACTGAGTGCACTGCAGCTCTTGGAGAGGTACTGGTTGTTGTAGTAAAGGACCACTTTGCCACTGGCAGAGGTCCACACCACACACACAGGGGTCATGGAAGAGGTGAGGTTAGACTGAGTCATCAGAGAGTCCACAGAGCACTCCCGTCCATCCACAATCAGATACATCTCTTCCTGGTTGGCTCCAAAACTCAGGGCCACACCATTGCTGCTGTCATAGTAAGAGAACAGCCATTCTTTCTGTAGAGATACAAGGCAAGGAGGAATTATTTCATCATTAAAATAGAAGAGGTATGAATACAGTGGTAACACAAAGCATGAAGAAACACTTTACTAATAATCTACAAATTTACAAAGTTACTTTTCTGGTGGAAGGCCAGCTACTTGCTTGTTTTCAACTGTATCAGGGGTGTTCAAATTCCCCAAACTCCCATCCGCCTGCCCTCCCCCACACAGGCCTTTGAAGGAAATGCATCTTTTGTGTTCCTGGCAATGATGAGTTTCAATAACAATTGATAATGTTTTTTTAATATTGTATTTTCATATATTTTTTAAAAAGTGCATACATAAATGATTTTTGCAACTAATAATTTATGCAAGCAAATAATTTCCAACTTCACGCAGGCCTAATTGAGGTTACTTTTAACATCACTGAAGATCAATAAGACACCAGGTCTTAACCAGAATTAAACCAGGTCTAAACTAGGTCTGAACCAGGACTAAACCAGGACTAGACCAGGACTAATCTTGGACATGAGCGAGAGTGAGAGTGTGAGAGAGTGAGAGTGAGAGTGAGAGAGAGTGAGAGAGTGAGAGAGTGAGAGAGAGAGAGAGAGAGAGAGAGAGAGAGAGAGAGAGAGAGAGAGAGAGAGAGAGAGAGAGAGAGAGAGAGAGAGACCTCCGAGCTCATGGAGCAGGATGTCTGCAAAGCACGATCGAGTGTAAGCTGCTCTTAGTCCCGTGAGGCGTGGAGCTCTGCGGTCACTCGACAGTCTACGAGGTGCACTTCCGGGCCCGTCCCGACACACAGTTCTGTTTCAATTCGGTTTAGTCCTGGTTGAAACCTGTTTAAGTCCTGTGTTAGTCCGCGTGTGTCGCTCCTCTCCAGTGGCTCTTTGGTGCCTCCCAGGGGAGGCAGGCCTCACCTACTGAACACCGCTGATCTATATGATATGGCTTAGACTGGAATGTTTGAAAGTATGGCAATAAACTGACCTCTCTCCATGTTTAATATGATACTGTGGAACAATCCAGGCACCACAGTAACATTCTCATGTTGAAAAGCAGATTGTGAACCCCCACCAGAAAAGATACATATTTTATCTTAAGAATGATTCAGTTTAATTAAACTACTAACCACTGTGCCTCAGGTGTGTACCTGTTTGGTAGAGCTGCGCTGGGCCTCGAAGCACACGGTCAGGTGACTGAGTGTTGGCATGGTGATGGAGGAGGACAGTTTGGTCACCTGACTGTTTCCACTATTAACAGCAATTTTCTGGTTCCTCAGGTCCACAGCGACTACAGCACAAAGCACAGGTTTGTTCAGCAGAATAAAACTGAAGCATATTCATCACTCTATATGGTAAATTAAGTATTGGTGAAAGTGAATGATAGTGTGTTTAAATCAAATAAAAATGAAATAATAAAAGATATGAATTATACTGTACATTGGTATAAGTGACTTCAATCAAGTTGCCCAATCGCAAATAAAAATCTCACTTATTCAAAATGTTTAGGCATTCTCAGGGTACTGCAGTTCATTATCAGGTATAAATTGCACTATCCTTTTAAAACACATTGTGGACAAAGTTTACAAGCCTAAAAGTGATGACAGACGCACTGTTTAAGTCAATAATATCTGCAGTGTTGAGAACCTGGCTTTGAGAGTGCATTAGTGTAAGCTGTGGGCTGGTTAATCACACACACACAAAAAAGAAAAGAAAAAAAAACAAACAAAAAAAACAGCTGAATGAGAATGAGTTTTTAAAAATAAAATAAATAATGCCAAACTCAAACACACTGAATTCTTTTAAAAACAAAATCAGACCCTTGATCTCTTTGAACTGTTCCAAAAGAAATAAAAGTACTCAATAGGACACCAGCCTGAGGTTTTATTGAATAAATTTGAACAAAATGCCTTCTCTGAAAGACTGTTAGCTGAAAATGAACTGTCTGAGAAAAATGTAGTAAACTATCTGTAGGTCGGTGAAATAGTTTGACATAATGTAGAGTTAACTTTGTCTGGCGCAGATAGATGCTGAATACATGTGAATGTGAACGTGAATACATGTCAGCCCAAGATCATGGACACTGTAGAAACTGTTGGGATAAAATTGTCTGCATTTTAAATTGAATAAAATATAGGAGTACTTTCACTACTAACACAACTGAAAATAATTTATGTACATAACATCACTGCACACACAGATGCTCGATACAGTTCGAGCAGCTCACCAATTAGGAATTTATGAAGCATTCTCACAGTGCCTGATTAAAATTTATTCAATGACATAACAATCAAGTTATTTTGTTTTTAATGTATTGGTTATATTCACTTTTTTTCAATTAACAAAATGTATGTTTGTATTTAAACTAATTCCAGAAAGACGTAACAAAAAATCTACAAATCTATAAAACAGGTAAATTTGTACTGTCTAAATGGAAAAAAACAAAACAAAAACACACATGTAGTTCCTTTTAAACAATTTGCAGTGGTCCAAATGTCTTCACCACAGTCACTACTGGAGTTGACCATCATGGTAAAGACAGCAAACATTAGCATGCTAACAGCACACTTCCTGCACTGTTTAAAATTAGATGCAGACCTCTAAAAGCGATTTTACAAAATATCTGTACTGGGGCATAACCTATTTTACTTGTAGGTAAAAAATGGGTATAGTCCCTTTATTTTTTTATTTTTATTTTATTAACCTGAAGTGATAAAGTTTTTCACAGTAGTTGTAAAATTTTATATTTGATCAGTACACGCAATAACTCTGACTATAACCGCAAAGTACTGTCTACATCTAATTATAAGGTGCAGGAAGTGCGCTCTTAGTATTCTAATGTTTGTTAATGTTTGGATTATTGTTAGGATTATCTTTTTTTATTTATCTTCTCATAAAGGTCACCTATTTCATACCCTTCTCCTCTTCTCTCTTCTCCACACCTACCATGTTTGTACTCCACATAAAAGCCCCTCTTCTGTACGCTGAAGTCCGAGTGAAAGCTGAGCACTATCATGTTACTGGTGGAGTTAAGCGTGAGCCCGTGCGCCGTGAGCCCACAGAACTTCACGTCCGTCCGCCCCGTTTTCACCAACACCCAGTCGTAAATGCACCCGGGCGCCTCCTCCAGCTCGAAGTCCAGAAAGGTGAGCTGAACTATGTGTCCCGTGGGTGCCTGTATGGTCCAGCGGCAGGCGTGGGAGTTAGGGTACTTTTGGGGGTAGCAGGGGGACTTCATCACCCCGTGTGAACCGTGCAGGGAGAGATTACAGTCTGGAGCCACGCAGCCGAGAACTGGAGGTGGTGGAGATGGGTAGATGTTCAAATCAAATCGGCAAATTTGTAAGGTTAGAGAGCCCATTGAGCGAAGGGTTAAAGTAGGGCGAAGACAGACTACTCAGAATTAAGAAGACATCAAGTCAGCTTTGAAAAGTATGTGGACATGTAGCGAAAGAAGGTATTTTTACTCAAGAAAATCATGCGTTATAGACTCTGAAGGCAGTACAAACCAACAAGAACATTTCAAGACACAGGGACAGTAGTTTTGACAATCCAAACAGTTATAGGAACACAAAGTAAGTAGGCTGAAAAAGACAGACACACATCTTGTTGCACTTAGCTCAGATTAAGGGTCAAAGAAGAAAGTAGTCCTTGAACATGAAAGTAGACCATCAAAACTCATAGAACTATTGCAAAGGAGTGTTACGATAATCCCAAGTTAATAGACAAATATGCCCTGATGTCATCCAGAAAAGAAGGGACGCAAATATAGAAGAAGTAAAAGTAGAAGTGGATGACACCGTTGTAACATGCAAGACCAAGTAGCTGGATTTAAGAAAAGAGTAAAGTACAACTGTAAGTGTACCAATACCAGCAAGTTGCAAAGGATATTAAGTTACCAAGACAACGCAATGCATGCCCAAAGATTACCGATAAAAAGCAGTAATAACCATCACATTAAAGAACATTTAGCCAGACAGATATTTTTTTAGATGCATATTAGGGACCCAGACAGAAGCAGTGTCAGATATAGAACACAGAAAAAAGATTGTATTAATTTTCACAAGAAAGCAAGACAATATAGGGACACTGCAGTAAAAATTCACATCACAACATACAGGCATGTTGTTATGTCAGTGGTAACAACATTAGAGGTCAATAAAACTGAGTGGAGACAGTCCAGAGACATGCACAAACGGGACAAAAAGAAGACATCATACAAGAGGACATAAGATCCTAGATGTCTGACTGTGATATAGGATATATGTAAGATCTATATGAGTGTAATATTGTATTTTCTATAAGTAACAGCAGGATTATTGATTGTGCTGAAGTTATTCCTCTTCTCAAACTTGACCAACTTTAGGGCAAGAAGCCAGGGTTGGTTTGCATCATTAGAAAAGTTTTGAATATTAGAAAAGTGTTGTAAATATTGATTTTTCGCATTAGGATGAGGAAAACTAAATATGGAGGAGTCTCACAACTGCTCTCAAACTAAACTGATCTATTTTATTTATGAGGTTTTTTTGCTGTGGTTTTCTACACACATCTAAAGATTAAATATAGACAGAGATGTAAAAATAATAATTTTGTTTTTAACTTTTCTTTGAAAAGTTTTCTTTGAACTTTACTTTACAAACATGTGAGTCTAGTCACTGGTGCGTTTCTGCAGTTCAAGTCAAGTTCAAATAGGTATGACTGACAAGTGGATTAGTCACTCAGGGACATGCAAGGTCCATCCATATCATAACAAACATGGCTGCTTTTATGAAGAATAAAGGCTAACACAAATCACACAATATCACTGAAAAACTGCAAATTTCTGTTGAATTATTGAATTTATTTGTCATTATTGCAGCATACTTTGTTGGCCTAGTGGGTTTTTTGTTTGTGTGTGTAGGTTTTTGCACATGACGAGTGTGAAGAGAGGGGTGGGTTGTGGGAGTGTTTTGTTTTTTTCAAAATTGAAAAAATACCAATATATATATTGTGACACTCACCACTGCTGCAGATTAAATTTTACAATATTTAATGTCAGATGCTCTTTCAGATGTAGCTACAGTATGTTATTGGAACAATACTACACCAGCCTGAATTAGAGAAACAATTTGGCTATTTTTCTAAAGGCTACATGATCTAACTGTTTATATCATAGCTCACTTTGATTCATTATGTTTGAGCATGTAGCCCCAGATCATTGTAAACCTTAATCAAAACAAGCTGGGAAAATACAGCTGAAGCCTTGAAATGTTCCCTAATATTTCCCCAAAACCTAATTTAATTACAATTTACAAAATCTCCACCGCGAGCCAATCTTTCTAACATGTTGACAGCCAGATTTCTTCCACTGGGCTCATTAAATCTAAGTGAAGATGAATGGGAGTGGATGGGGCAGAGATGAGCTCTGTGTCTGGTCTCAAACATGTTCAAGTCTCATGGATGGAGATGGAAAAAGCCCAGAATGCACTGCTCTCCGTGAGGTTCCAACAATGGGCCCCGTTGATCAGGCTCCGAGCTGAAGCCAAACCACAGCAGAGGCACAGCAGAGGCAGAGGCTCCAGTTTATGCATGTGGGACTGTACTGGAGATTTAACCCTTACATGACCAATACTCATTATTATTATTTAAAAAAAAAAAAAAAAAAAAGTTTCTGTCTCCAACTTCTCATATCATTTAGTTAAGCCTGTCATGAGAATTACTATATTGACTTATCGTTTCATACTTGAGAGATGGAGCAATCATTTTTGGGGCCAATATTATCGTGAGTATGTTTTCATTGTACTAGTGGGATATTTTGGGTTATTTCCTTTGCAATATGATAAGATTTGAGCTATACAAGTTTGATTCATGAACTTCTATAACTCATTATAGATACAAACCAGAGGGGAACTGTCTGGGACTTCTAGGCCTTGACAGAAGGCCCAAACATGTCAGCAATTATTTGTAAAATTTTTAATTATAAATATTATATAAATATTATTAAATTGCACAAAATCAATAAGATCATATAGATAAAGATATATCTCTAACATTTCATAAATATGCACTGTCCTGCTTTCAGAAAACTACACTGTCCAGTCAGATTTGGTTACATGTTACAGAACTCGCTCATTTGTTCAGACTGGAGATGGCAGGCAGAGGGCCCTGGTGTTAGCACTGACCAATCAGATTCTCCCTTTGCAGCAGCAGCGGTGAGTGTGACTGAAGAACAGTGTCGTGTGTGTTGTAATCTAGTCACTAGGCTAATGAAATAAAAAAAAACAAAAAACAGTTGCGTTCAGTTGTTGATGTACGTGCTTGTTTTGACTCAGCGTGTGCATGTGGTTGTACTGAGCAGCTGATGGAGACGTGGGAAGTGACACCAGCGCCTTTTACTAATACTTTTATTCATAAATATAAAAGACTAAAGGCCTAAGTTCAGAGGGCATGATTTGCCACTGATGCAAACTAATTACTTAAGTGTTTCATTCTGCTTCAACAATAAATCACATTTCAAAATGTATTATTGTGATAAGCCTACATTTAGAGTCTCATCCAAGAACAAAGTAACAGTATGTATTAACACTTTGACTCCGGGATTGAACCAGTACCAGAAGTGGACAAACATCTCTACCCCTGTGGTCTCGCTGTGTATTTATGCACAGTTGAAAATAAATCAATATCTATTTCAAGAGCCCTTTACAACACTGAATGTGCTTTCCAACAACAATAAATTCAGGAATTTGATCATAAAACTTGCATAACTTACCAATCCTTTTATTAATCTGAAACTGTTGCACATCTCTAAAAGTCACCATGAAATATGGTACTGGAAATATATTTTTCTTTTGATAACAAGCTTTGCTGCTTGAGTGAGTCCAGGGGGAGTACTATGGAAAATTATCAGACAGCTTCTCCCCAAATCAATTTTTTTTTCTTCAAATAGTATTAAATTGGATTTTTAAACTTACTGTAAGTTTAAAGGTCTTATATAAAATGGACTCTTGTGAGCTTTAATGCATGTTATAATGTTACTTCATCAAAAACATACATGGAGTGTTTTATTTCATTCACACATGTTTGAGTAACCTTTTATTACACCTGTCTACATCTCCAAAGCTTAAAATGCTCTGTTCCACTTTGTGATGTCATGAAGTGGTGGTTTTCAAGTTAACAGCTACCATTTACTTTTTGTTCAGAGTTTGACAATTCCAGGGCTGAAATGATCCTAGTGAAGGTGTATAGAATTTAAAAACACAGTGGAGCACTTTCTGTATTACCACATGACATTACAAGGTGGGGCAGAGTGTTTTCCATTTGAGAGAAGAACCTAAATATGTAGGATTTGAGTGTTGAACATGTGTGAATGAAACAAAACACAACTCTGGGCTTTTTTGATGAGGAAACAACATTATAACATAGATCAGAAAATAGCGTCATATAACCATAAAACCAGAGAACACAGATCTTCATTTTGCGCAAACACGACTTCAAATAAGCATTCAAATAAGCTACGTTTTACCAAATTTTTCTCCTAATTTACAACTTCTGAACATGTCGTCAGACCGTAGCCAAACACTTACTGGTCCATTACATCTGTAAACAGAACAAATGACTGAATCTGTCGCTATTAGTCTTTCAGCGCGACATTTAAGAAACGTTTGGGCTCAGCATCAAAGAGATCCATTTTCCCACTAATACAAAAAATGGTGAACATTTTAGCCTTCAGCGTTCCACTCTTCCCCACACACAAAGCTGTTGCCTCGTTTGTGAATGGAATCAGTGGATCACAGAGCGGAGGAGAACTGACCCTCCCCGAGAGAGAGGGGGAGAGAGGGGGAGAGAGGGGGCAGAGGGGGGCACCGGGCTCCTCTTTGTGAGTTTGATAGAAGTCAATTCAGCCTCCTCCTAAATGGCTAAAAGCTACGGCTAACGTTACAACCAGTGCTAACTCTGGTTACGTTTAATCCAGGGTTTACAGTGCGCAGGCAGAGGGACTGACTGTGCACGGGGAAATGCACTGAACTCAGCTCAAACCGTGAAGTCCTGACTCAGCTGTGATTGAAATGAAAAGACTGGGACTGACATATAATAATAATAATCATACACACCAGACTTATGTAATAAGGTGGAACTGAGTGTTTTCTGTTTGAGAGAAGAACTCAGTCTAAATCTGCAGGGTTTGTGCGTTAAATGTGTGAATGAAACAAAACATAACTCCAGGTATGTCTGTGATGAGGAAACAACATTATAGCATAGATCAGAAAATAGCACAATATGGGACCTTTAAAGCTGCACAATGTAACTGTTTCATT